ATCTAATTTAAGTGTAACATAGGATGTTATTGTACCTTTGCCTGCTATATGGGAGAACTTTCCATTAGCACACAGGTACATAAACACTGAACAAATCACTACCAAATCCTTCCATTTGATAGTGTTAATACATTAACAGCCCTAACTTTTTCACTATGAGATTTGGAATTATTTGATGGTCCTCCTCTGAAGCCTCCACAATGGTTCTTATGTCACCCATCCTGCTGGGACTGTGGACCTACCAATTCAATTCCCTGTAGATCGTATTCAAGTACCTAACGTCTCTACTTAGCTCTTTTAGCTGCAGCATCTCTTTCTGCTGTCCTATCCATCCACCCTAACAGCCACTGGAACAGTCAAATCCTCTTCAGAGTCACTGCTCTTCCCAGCATGTACAGATGGACAACATCACTTAGAAGCATGGCTTACATTTGGCTACCACTGTTCACTGAGAAAACTGTTGCTCATGTTCTTTATTGACCACTACTCTCCCAGTCTGCATGTCATCAGGGAACTCTGCAATACTATTTCATGTTTTCTTCCAGATCATTGCCAAAAATATCCCATATTACTTTATCTGTATACATTTTATAAATGTCTGAGTTTGGCTCAATGCTCTGAGGGAACTCAGCTTGCAGTGTTGAACTAAAACACAAAGTGTATTTTTGGTTTTTTTGAGTAGTCACCTTCCTCCATGGGGAGCAAAAAACAAAAAGAAATGAAAACCATGCGGATATTCCCACCACATTACCTAGGCATGCAACTTAGGTCACCTTAAGGTGGTACTTCTTCCTCTCAACCAGCTATCGAAAGACTACTCTTTCAATTCAGCCATGTGAATTACAAGATGCGGGTACCTGCTACTTGCCCCTTCTCCAATGTACCACATCCTTGGATGGTGTACCCTGTCACAGAGATATGAACTTGAGCTTTCAGGAACTTTGCTGACTTACAACACACAAATCCTGTCCAGGTCTAAGACCTTTATGTAAAATTTTCAGAAAACTGTGGACTCCTACAATGTCTCACGTGACATACCTGATAAGAACCATACCCACCCCTTTGTCTACAGTGCTTGTAATCCCACTTGGCCTTTTGTACCAATAACTGAGATACATACCTAATTTACACGCCAGGTAATTCTTTGAAATCTGAAAACAATAGGCATGGATTTCCAATAGTTCTTCTGATTTATCTGTTGAAGAAGCTATTTTCTCAACAGAAAAAGAATGAAAATGCCACTTGAAAGAGTG